GGTCTGAACACCGCAATGCCGCAAAAAATTCGGCAAATACCGCCATATCGCTAAATACCGCAATACTTGAATACCGAGTGGAAACGCGATGTCATACCGAAACCACTACTCTGTATATTAAAGTTTAGAGCAAATAAAACGGAAATAACAATTAAGAATTTGTTAATGAACGTTAGGTCAGGTAATTTTCGATTTAGATAAAATAAGTAACTGGTTGGCTGGTAATTAACAAAAAATAACATACCGACTTTTACGATTGCGACACAAGGAATTGCAGTTTACCATCACCTTGAGAGCTAAGTTTCATCGGGAACGTTCAATCGGAAACTGGAAAAGGCTTGGGAAACGTTCGAGGACTAGGAGGATAATTTCTAATACTGTCCAAAATGCTAAAAAGAAAACACATCCCGCGAGTTCGGAGAATACTGCGATACTGCATTTCAAGATTAAAATTACTGAAATAACGCAAGAAAAATTGTTCAATACCGCAATACCGCAAACCTCAATGTCCCTCTCTATTTCGTACATCTTCCTTTAAGCGGTAGAATTCCCTTTGAAGGTTTGCGACCGTTTGATTTATTCGATCCACCGAGTCTTGTAATATATTTATTTGTGTGTCAATGTTTTCCAGTTGGCTTAGCTTTGATAATATTAGGTCCACTTTGGACGCAAAATCCTGTGCCATATCGAGGGCTGACAGAACTACGTCTTCGGAATCGCTCAGTTCGTCTTTGAAGGCGACACAATGGCGGGTGGATCGGTCGCTTGGTGTTCTTTCACACTCTATTTCAACCGCTTCGTTTCGGGAGAAATATTTTCGCTGGTCGGTAAATTGCATGGAAGAGTACAACAAAAATTACGGAGCTATCAATCTCGCGTCCTTTTTCAGTCATGCTCAGTCCCAGTCCCAAGTTATCGATAACTTTGTATTATTGCAATTAAATTGTTGTTGTGGGGCTAAATTAAAATCTAAAATTTGTTAATTTTCAGGTCCCATACTAGCGACATCTGTATCATGTAAGTATTCTCAATAAAAAATTCTTTTTTCCTTTCAAAGACAAAAGTTATAACCGAAAGGGCCTGGGTAAAATAACGCGCCGCTTCCGAAAAATTAAGAAAACAAGGAAAAAAGGGTTCTTTGATTTCCTGCTTGGTTAAGCGAAATTTGACAGATGGGAACTCAGTCATTATTGCTTTTTATTGTATATGGCTTGTTCTTGTAGCCGATATAACGTGCGCTCTGATCGGCTAATTGTAGAGCATTATTCTCCTGTAATGCATGCGGGCCGATTACGGGCTCGGACTTTACGGGAAAATCTCAAACCTCGACCTTCCTCTATTGACCACGCTATCGTTCGGTCAATATGGCAAGGTCTCAGTCTGAGATTTTCCCGTAAGCACCTCACTCTCTGTTATAAGTAGTTAGTATATTGAAGAAACTGCATCTGTAGAGAACCACTCATTAGAGTTTCACGAAATTGGACCGAAAATACTTCAGGAATAAGTAACTGGAGTATTGAAAAATATTTGAATGAATATAAATTATATAAAACTGCTATTACAACAACTGTGAAAATTCTCCCACCACACACTAGTTAGACCCCATCTCCAGCTTTTTTGTGAGCCCGCTTTCATTTCCCCACACCACGTGCACGTTGGAAGGAAGATCACATCAATCACAACCGGACTCCCAAAACGGCTGGAAATCGAGCCTACACCCTAATAGGCTAATTTTCATCGTCGATGAGATTACAGACACGTCACACTGATGCATTATGGCGCCATCACGCACTGAGAACTTTGTAATGTTTTGCACAACGTTTTCAGTGTTGTCAATGCACGATTCAAGCGACAGATTTCATTTTAACAGGACTTCTTTAAAGAAAACCATGAAATCTTTCAGGATGACTTTTAATTGCTATCGGGTTCAATTTTTGGGCCAAAAAACGTATTGATCAAAATTTTGACGTGGAACTCGATGAACGGAACAATCGATTTTTGTGTCGTATTCAATTTTTTCAAGCGGGTTTTCAAGAATTTTCAAGTTAATTAAAGGATAGTACAGAATTCCGGTTTCTGCATTTTAGTTTTGTGTTGGACGTGCATAGTTTTATAACGTCGTGAGTTTCGGTATATAATTTTAACTAAAATAATTTCGGGTTCTTCCGCACTTTTACCTAGCGTTTTCTCTCGTCGGCAGTCTCCTGAAATTAATCGGAGAAAACTACAGAGATCGCTCATTGGCTGTTTGTCTAAATTCAGTTATCACAGTACATTGTGTTGTTACGTCATCAGTATTGACGTTTTGGCCTCGAACCTGTACTTCACAGGTCTCCCGCGCGAGGCGTGGAAAGTTCGCACAAGGGGAGATGTATGTTTTCTTGAATTATTAACTTTTCCGTGAGAAGGAATATAATGACGACAGGTAGGAATTAATTTTATTTCTTTTTCTCTCTTTTTGCAGCGCCATTTGAAGAGCAGATATATGTTCCGCAAAGTAAGTAATTTTTTTTAGTGTTGACCTTTGGTAATATTTTGTTTTTGGAGTAATATTAACTTACTTCGCACACTGGCTTTCTTAATTATGAACTACTTTTAGCTATCGATGACTTGAATGAGAGGACAGCTGATAATGTTCGATCGAGCTCATCTACTCACCAGTCCTCGGTTGTTCGAAAACCGATTAAAATAACCCGCGGTTAACGGTAACTCCACGATTAAGAGCAGTTTGCATGCTGTAAGGATCGACTAAGGGTATGCAAAATACAAAAAAACCGATTTCCCAAACTTTGCCAGAATAAAGAACGAGGTGAACTACAATCCCCGACAAAAGTCTTGGCACGCTTGCCCATTTTTGCAGTATCTGTAAGGGAAATTTGTCAATTCGGCCTCCTCCCCCCAATTCAGTGTTGTTTATCGTGATGAATTCGTCATTGCTCGTTTCCAAAATTGTCAGGAGGAAGGGGGTTCCCTATTCCAGTGATGTCATTACTTATTGTTTCCAAAATAGCTTGTCAACACATTTTCATGCTATCTGAGCCAGCCGTGCCAAGGACTTTTGTCGCGGATTGTAGTTCTAAAAGTATAAGTTTTAGGTCGTTTAGATTTTGTTTGCAATTTTCTTTTTTTAATTTTGCGCTCGCGGCGGCCTAAATTTACTTCGAAATCGGGCATTTTTCGGAAGCTCCCGTTTAAAAAGTGAAAGCGTTCTAGAAAAGATTAACCAAGGAAATCAAAAGATTATATTTCCTCTGCTTATTGGCGCCGTAAAATGTAAATAAAAGTTGAACGTGAATTTTTGACGATTTTTTTAAAATTTATGCTTCGCGACAGAGCTCACCAACTCTGAATTTAGACGACATTCAAGACTCCAAAAGACACTCTGGTACATGGCTCCACCCAACGAGACAATACTCTGGGGAAGAACAATCATTTCAACTACACGTCGGGCGGAAAAAAATTGGGATAAATTAAACGGCGAATTCTGGCACCTGAGCAATATGAGCGACCCTTTGGCCTTTCATGTCTTTCGGAAATCAACACACGGCAGCTCTTAATTTGACTTTCATTCGCCGGAATACACGTTTCTTCGCTCTTGTTTCCTTTGCTGACGTATTCTCAACTTTTTGAAACTTGACCCACCTCGCATTTAGAAGGTTACGTTATGATCGCCGAATTACATATTAAAATTCGCTTTTAGAAAACGGCGGTACCAACAAGGAAGCAACAATCAATTGCACTTAATTGCGTTCGTAGAACGCATTCCTAATGCAGACTTGAGTGAGGTTTCATGGGACGGCGATTTGGCCCCCCCGCAGCAGGGGCGAAACGAATGACGTCATCGCCAAACAATGTGCTGTACATTGCGTGTCCATCTGCTACCTTATTACCGTAAATCCTCGAGTTAGCGTGTGCGCTTATTCGAGGGGGGCGCTTATTTTAATTTTTCCCAAATCGTGGCCTGACACGATCATTTTTTTAATACAATCTGCGCGTAAACAACAAAATAAAAAGCTGATCCTTAAGGGGGTATGGTACCCTAAAATATGGTGATGTTCAATTTCTTGGAAATACAAGACTTAAGACTCCTGAGGACTTGTCAAAAACATTTTGAAACGATCTTGCCGAATTTCCTTCCAGATGAGTGTGAAATTTAAGGAAAGTACAAAGTGGATTAAGTTTTTTCACGTGGCAACGGCCATAGCAACGACTGTTTACTATAAGAACGTGACCAAAAATATAGATTATTTTTAACTTATATGAACGAAACTATT